TATTTTGTATAAATTGTAGATCAGATTGTCTACACACACACACACACACACACACGCACACACACTCATAACGAACCACAGTATTCTGTGGGAAGGAATTGAGTTTACCCATTTGAGAAAACCCATCTTTACAACACTGAATCTTTCTAGCTACAAAAGAGCATCACTTTAAATTTATTCAGATCTCTTTAATTTTGCTAAATATTTTTAAATAGATTTTAGCACAGAAGTCTTTCAGATCTTTTGCTGGATTTATCCTTAACATTTTTTTGTTTAAGGTAAATGCTATTTACTTTCTCTATTTAGAGTTTTTCTTTTACTATTCTGATGCATATTTATAGATGTGTAATTGATTTTTCACACCAAAGGAAGAGGATAATTTAGTTATTAACTCACTAATTAACTTGCTAAATAGTTTGTAAATTCTGTTGGAATTTTCTATGGGTATAATAATGCCATCTATCATAATGGCAATTTTGTCTCTCCCTTTCAAATACTTTATCTATATTTATTCTTTCACTTACTCATTCTTTCTTCATTTTTGGCTTCCTTGCTCTGTCTAGAATCTCTACTATAATGCTAAACAAAAGTGGTGATTTTCGCCATTGTTTCTTTTTTAAAAAAATTTTTTTAATGTTTTATTTATTTCTAGGAGAGAGAGAGAGAGAAAGAGAGAGCGTGACCCAGGGGAGGGTCAGAAAGAGAGGGAGTCACAGACTCTGAAACAGTCTCCAGGCTCTGAGCTGGCAGTCAGCACAGAGCCCGACGCGGGGCTCGAACCCACGAACTGCGAGATCATGACCCAAGCGAAAGTCGGACGCTTAACGACTAAGCCACCCAGGTGCCCCTCGCCATTGTTTCTTATTCCTCATCTCTGGGGGACATAATTTAATACGTTGACCATTAGTTATGATGCTGGTTAAAAATATGGCAAATGCTTTTTATCCAAGAGAGAAAATATTTATCATGCAGTATGTAATACTTCCCATGAGTTTTTGGCGTGAATGTGTTTTGAATATTAGCAAACGCTTCTCCATCTCTCATGTTGAAAATGACTTTCTTTTTTCCCCTGTGTGTGTGATAACTTACAATGTTTGGTTTTTCCAGTGTTAAATCAACTTACACTCTCACAATAAAAATAATTTATTCATGACATATTAAGTAAATTTGGATCCAACTGTAATAAATGAATATTTAAAGTGTGCAAATTTAGGGGCATCTGGGTGGCTCAGTTGGGTAAGCATCAGACTTTGGCTCAGATCATGATCTCATGATTTATGAACTCAGAGTTCACAAGAAGTCTGACAGCACACAGCCTGCTTGGACTCTCTGTCTCCTTCTCGTTCTCTGGCCCTCTGCAACTCGTGCATTCTATCTCTCTCTTTCTCAAAAATAAATTAATGTACAGGGTGCAAATTTATGTTTTGGCAAAGTATCTTCCCCTGAAAACATCAGCACTATCAAACTAAAGAACATAACCATCATGCTTTCAAATTTTCAAGTAGTTTTTGGTAATCTCTTTTCCCATGATTTGCAGCCCCATTCCACAACCAGGAAACCATGAATATACCTTCTTGGTAACTATATATTCTCTAGAATTTTATACAAATGATATCATACACCAAGCACTTTTTTGAGGTCTAGCTTTTTGTTTCCCTGATGGAAATTATTTTGAGTTCATCTATGCTACTATAGGTACTGATAGTCATTCTTCATTGGTTGCTAGGTAGTATGAAAATGCCACAAATTGACTTTTGATTCACCTTCAGTAACTTCCAAATCTAGGTTTTTGTAAACTGAATTGCTGTAAGTATTTATGCACGTCTCTTATAGACATGTGCTTTCATTTCTCTCAGGTGAACACCTAAGTGTGGAATGGCTTCATCATCTAGTAGGTAAATGTTCAAGACTTTTCAAAATTGCCAAACAGCTTTTTAAATGGTTGTACCATTTTTAATTCTGACCAGCAGTTTATTGGAATTCCTGTTCTTTCTTTTCTTACCAACTTTTGTACGGCCTGTCTTCTTAATTTTAGCCATTTTAATAGGTATGTAATGATATGCCACTGTTGTTTTAATTTGCATTTCCTTATGCATTTGACTAATAGTGCTGAAAACCTTCTCATCTGCTCATTTGCCATTCATATATGACCTTGATTAAGGTATTCAAATACTTTGCTCTTTTTAAAAATTTATTTTGGAGGGTTTAGACCATTTATACTGAGGAGATTAATGACATGGTTGGTAGGGATAAAACTATCATTGTGCTATCTTTTACTGGCTGTCCCAGTTTTCTTTGTTTCATTTTCCCTCTTTTTCTCACCACTTTCAATTATCTATTAATTATAGAGTGTATTTTATTATTCCATTTTATGTTCATTGTTGTATTATTAACAGTAACAGTTTGCTATTTTGCTGTAGATTTTATAATGTGCATCTTTAGTGTTTCACAGTCTACTTTCAAATGGCCTTATGCCCTGAAATATGTATGATGAGCCTTGTAATATTATACTTCAGTGTCTTCCCCCTCTTAGCCTTTATGCTATTGTTTTAATATATTTCACTTTTGCATAGTCTATATACTTCAGACCTAACTTATTATTTTTGGTTAAAAGTCAACATTTAAAAAGAAATTTAAATAAGTAGAAAAGAATAATAGGTATTTATTCAGATAATTAGTATTTCTAGTAGTCTCTATTCCTTTTTGAAGATTCATGCTTCTATCTAAAATCATTTTCTTTCTTCCTAAAAAACCTTCTTTATCATTTATAATGGAAAAGAAGTATTTCTTTTTTGCTTTCTAAAAATATTTTCACTAGTATAGAATTGAAGTTTTAAGATGTTGTTTTTCACTGTCCTTTAAAAATGCTATGGGGCACCTGGGTGGCTCAGTCCATTAAGCGTCCAGCTTTGGCTCAGGTCATGATCTCACGGTTGATGGGTTCAAGCCCTGCATCGGGCTCTATGCTGACAGCTAGCTCAGAACCTGGAAGCTGTCTTTGGATTCTGTGACTCTCTCTCTCTCTGACCCTCCCCTGCTTGTGCTGTATCTATCTCTGTCTCAAAAAATAAGTAAAATATTAAAAAATTTTTAAATAAAAAAATAAAAATGCTAAAGAATAAACTTCGATCACTTTCTTACACTATACACAAAAATAAGTTCAAAACGGATGAAAGACCTAAATGCAAGACAGAAAACCATCAAAATCCTAGAGGAGAGCATAGGTAGCAACCTCTTTGACCCAAGATAAAAGTTTTACAGTGAACGGAAAAAAAATCAACAAAAGTAAAAAGGGCTCCTGGGTGGCTCAGTTGGTTAAGCGCCCAACTCTTAATTTCAGCTCAGGTCATGATCTCATGGTCATGAGATCAAGCCCACTGTGGGGCTCCATGCCTGGACATGAAGACTGCTTAAGATACTCTCTCCCTTCTCTCTCCCTACCATCTCTCACATGTGTGCTCTCTCTCACATAAATAAATAAAAACATCCTCAAAAACAAAAACTGAAAGGCAACCTACAGAATGGGAGAAGATATTTGCAAATGACACATTGGACAGAAGGCTAGTATCCAAAATCTATAAAGAGCTTATCAAACACCCCCAAAATATATAATCCAGTAAGAAATGGGCAGAAGATATGAACAGGAATTTCTTCAAAGAAGACACACAGATGGCCAAATGTGAAAAGTTGCTCAACATTACTCATCAGCAAGGAAATACAAATCAAAACTGCAATGAGATATCACCTCATGCCAATTAGAATGTCTAAAATTAAGAACACAAGAAACAACAATGGTTGACAAGGAAGTGAAGAAAGGGAACCATCTTGCACTGTTGGTGAGAATGCAAACTGGTGCAACTACTCTGGAAAACAGTATGGACGTTCCTCAAAAAACTAAAAACAAAACTATTCTATACAAATATACAGATTTGAAGGGCTATATGCACCCCGATGTTTATAGCAACATTATCAACAACAGCCAAACTATATGTCTATCAACAACTGATGCATGGATAAAGATGTGACACACACACACACACACACACACACACACACACACACACACACTGGAATATTATTCAGCCATCAAGAAGAATGAAATCTTGCCATTTGCAGCAACATGGATGGAGCTAGAGTGTATTATTTTTTTTTAATTTTAATGTTTATTTAAATATTTATTTCTAAAAGAGAGACACAATATGAGTAGGGGAGGGTCACAGAGAGAGGGAGATACAGAATCTGAAACAGGCTCCAGGCTCTGAGCTGGCTGTCAGCACAGAGCCTGATGTGGGGCTTGAGCTCACGAACCGTGAGACCATGACCTGAGCTGAAGTCAGACGCTCAACCGACTGAGCCACGCAGGTGCCCCTAGAATGTATTATGTTAAGTGAAATAAGTCAGCCAGAGGAAAAAAAAATACCACATGATTTCACTCATATGGTTTATTCCATTTGAAAATTTTTTCCAGCACCAAAATAGAGTCTAGTACACATTGTGGAATCTGGTATCTAGGTATCCAGTTTTGAGCTTAAAATACTCTTTCCCTAAGCAATTTGACTTTTTTTTTATAAGTGTAGAGTCACACTAGTTTCCCACACTTTGAAATTGAATTATCTTAACTGTGTAAACAGGGCCTGACTGGAGGAAAATGAGAAAGAATAAGATATTGGAAGAAAACTTGTTAAGTGTTTCTAAAACTAAGTCTAATAATGCCCCCGTCCATTTTTTTTTATTTCCTCTGTAAAATCTGGCCTGTCTTTGTAGGCCCATACTGAACCTGTAGTGTCTTTGTGGTTTGTCTGAAAGTACATTTCCTTTCTACTATTTTTCTCTTCCATATTCTCAGATGCTTCTTGTTCATTTTCTGCATCCACAAGCCCTGATCTTATTTATATTTTATAGAAATAGATAAGACAGTTCCATGAATGGCACAGTCTGATTTATTTCATTATTGTATGTCTATTACATCTTTTACCCTGGGGATCAAAAGAAAGGACAATGCACACTTTGGAAATACACATACTAAAATTGGAATGGTACAGAGGAGATTAGCATATCCTCTGTGCATGCATACACGTGTTTGCAACACATTGCATATTTTTCAAACAGGCATGTGAAAAGATGTTCAGCATCATTCCTCATTAAAGAATTGCAAATTAAAGCAACAATAAGATTGTTCCCATTACACATACATTAGAATGACTAAAATCCAAAACATTGATAACATCAAATGCTGATATAGATGTGGAGCAACAGAGAAAATACATTCATGCTGGTGGGAACGCAAAATGGTACAACTACTTTGGAAGACTGTTTAACAGTTTCGAACAAAACTAAACATATTCCTACCATATGACCCAGCAATCATGCTCTTTAGTATTTACCCAAATGACTGGAAAACTTATGCCCATACAAAAATTTGCACACAGATGTTTATAGTAGCTCTATAATTGCCAGATCTTGGAAGCAACCAAGATGTCCTTCAGTAAGTGAATGGGTAATAAACTGTGGCTCATCCAGACAGTGGGATATTATTCAGTGTTAAAAAAAAAGGGGGGGGCTGTCAAACCATGAAAAGACATGAGAAAACCTTAAAAGCCTATTACAAAGTGAAAGAAGACAATCTAAAAGGCTACAAAATGCATGATACTAACTATACGATATTCTGGAAAAGGGAAAACTACGGAGATGGTAAAAAGATCAGTGGTTGCCAGAGTATAAGAGGAGGAAGGGATAAATAGGTGGAACACAGAATTTTTAGAGCAATGAAACTATTGTCTATGATATTATAATGCTTGATACAGATCATTATACATTTATCAAAACCCATAAAACATATAACACCAAGAGTGACGTCTAATGTAATCTATGGACTTTGAGTGATAAAGATGTATTAATGTTGGTTTATTGATTGTAAGCAAATGTAACTCTCTGGTGTGGGATGCTAACAATGGGGTAGGCCATGACTGTGTAGGCGAAGGAGGTGTATAGAGATACTATACTTTCCACTCAGGGTTGCTGTTAAGATAAAACTGCTCTGGGGGGGACGCCTAGGTGACTCAGTTGGTTAAGCGTCTGACTTCGGCTCAGGTCATGATCTCACAGTTCGTGGATTCGAGCCCTGCATCGGGATCTGTGCTGACAGCCAACTCAGAGCCTGGAGCCTGTTTCAGATTCTGTATCTCCCTCTCTGACTCTCCCCTGCTCACACTGTGTGTGTGTCTCTCTCTCTCTCAGAAATAAATAAAAACATTAAAAAAAAACTTATACATGATAAAAAAAAACTGCTCTGAAAATAAAGTCTTTTTTTTTTTTTAAAGAACGTACAAAGAAAGTACTTTTCTTAATTGGACTGCTTGAACCAGACACAATTTAGTGATGGTAATTTTAAATAATTGCTTTGTGAAGAATCCCCCAAATTTCTCTAACTTAACAAAAGTCTGTGATTAAAATAGATGAACTATATTTTTACAGAAATAATATATGTATTTATTGTAACCAAGAGATGGCATGGACTGACTAGACATGTTGTCATCAAATTAAGCTGTATATAATATAAAACATTTTTTATGGGGCACCTGGGTGGCTCAGTCGGTTAAGTTTCCAGCTCTTGATTTCAGCTCAGGTCATGATTTCACGATTTTTGAGGTCGAGACCTGCGTCAGGCTTCACACTATCATGCAGAGCCTACTGGAGATGCTGTCTCTCCCTCTCTCTCTACTCCTTTCCCACTCGTACTCTCTCTCTCTCTCTCTCTCAAAATAAATAAATAAACCTAAAAAACCATACTTTTAAATATTTTGACACGTAGGTTATGCTTTAAAAATGCCACAACCTACACTTAGAATGAGAAAAGTCATTGTAAGTGAGTCATGTTAAAAGATGACATGATATCTACACTACAAAGTTCATTGGGAGATTTTAGCCAGATTGACAATAATCTAGAGTAAAAATTTGGTGGTCCGTGAACAAAATCCAGCCTATTTCTTTGTATTATACTCCCTATGTAATTTGTTCAGTGTATTTGAAATTCTTTACCTGGGGCATATGTTTTCTCTAGCTCATCACGTGCCCTTTCACTCCCTGTTTCCCTCCTACTAGCGTGCCTCACACATTAACAAATCATCTGGCTTTTGAAAACAAGCTTTGCCTCCATTCTCTCATCTAATCTATTTTGCGGTAATGTTCAGCAATATTGAGAAGTTAGTATGTTCTAAATCTTTGGAAATAAAAGTCAATTAAAAACAAAAGCAATTAAAATACTTATGAGTGACTTCAGCAAAACCAATGGAGTGGGATGCTCCAAAATCCTGTCCCTCCATAAAAGTAGTGAAGAGTATGGTGACAGATGGTGACCACACTTCCGTAGTGAGAGTTGAGTAATATACAGAATTGTCAATCACTATACTGTGCACCTGAAACTAATATAATGTTGTGTTCCATAAAAGGGAGGCATATGCAAAACAACTTTCAAAGACCAAAAAAACCTTAAGACCAGAGAGGCAGGCTGACAAGTTCAGCTTGGCAAGAAGTGACTTGTTTAAGGGGACTTATGGACAGAAGTGTGTCTGACAGGCCACAAGACAAGTAGACCTTTGCAACCCGACTTACCATAGGAGGTGCTTTTATTGCCCTAGGGGCCTAGGGGTACTTGCTGGGGGACCACCGGAGAAGAAATGTTTGAGAATCATAGTCATATCTCCATAGCAGATCAAGGACATTATGCCCCAATGATGTGGTTAAACAAAAAGAAAGAATGTTGGGGGGCAGCTGTGCTCAAGAAGACAACTGTTTTTAAAAGAGAAGGAAATGCTCTGGCAAACCCTGTGGGAATCAATTTATCAGTCATAAAAATGATGTACTGATATGTCCTTCAAAGATCTTCCAAACTGGTCAAAAGAAAAATCACACTCCTTTGAGAATATGATCTGTTGTGCTCCCTTTGTTACTAGAACCCTATCCTGGGAACCTGAGTCATTGTCTTGAAGATCATGGCAGAGCTGGGCCATAGAGTGTTGAGTCAGGACAAGTCAGGACAAATCAGGACAAAGACATAGAGTGTGGTGCAGGACAAATGCACCACAGAGCTCCTTTACTGAGATTCAGGTCTTATTCTCTTGATTAGTACTCACCTGAAAGTATGAACTTCTGCTAGTTTCCACAAAAAAAACCCTACCCATTGTGAAGTTACATTTATTTTAAATGTCCAAAATAGGCATTTTTGTCTCTTCACAGAGACAGAAAGCAGATGAGTGTTTGCCAGGGCATAGGGGGCAGGGAGGATGGTGATGACTGCTTACTGGTACAAGGTTTCTGTTTGCAGTCATGAAAGTGTTCTAGAATTAGATACTGTTGATGTTTGCCTAACACTGTGAATGTCCTAAAGGGCACTGGGTCATACACTCGAACGAAGGTGATTAAAAAGACCATTTTTTGTTATGTGAGTTTCATCTCAATAAAGAATGTGCTTTTTCTAATCTTGCCAAATGGAATCTGTTACTCTCTTTTCTCCAGCAATATGTCATTTGTTGTCCTATGCTTCTCTTAAACTACATTTCAGTGTAGACTGTCCCCTATCCATTCATTTCATTATCCAAACAAATATTTATAAAATATCTATTATTTCACAGGTATTGTTCCTTCCATTGGATCAACAGCAAGGACATAACAGATTGAGTCTTCTCTTTATGGAGCTGGAATCCTGATAGAAGAGAGTCAAAAAAAGTCATCAAAAATTCAATAAGGTGCTCAAGTTACACTTTATTCTCCCTTCTTCATACAAAAGAAGTTTTCTTATTCTCTCTCTTCTTTGTACACCCACCAATGCATGAACATAAACTCACAGATGTACACACACACACACACACACACACACACACAAGCATACATGTATATACTCAGATCTTGAGTCAGGTGTAACATATTCTCATTGATGGGCCTCGGAAAAATAATGATGTCTAGGGACACAATCTCTGCTACTTTATGCCATGGATAATTTCCTTTTCAGTGACTTATTTCCCCTTGGGATTCTTTGGAGTGTGCTGCTTCTTGGAAAAACAAACATTTTTGAATGGATGGGAGACAGAACAGGGGTATATGAATTGGAAGGTCACTGGGTAGACTATTTTCTGTGATTTCTTTCAACTTTGAAAATGTGAATCATAATTTGTAAAGTCACAAGCAAGAATATTCTTTCTAAGAAATTTTAATATTGTATTCCTTCCAATTACACATTGTTCTTAAACAGAAAAGCTTTGTCACTTGTGGAATATTTAATTCCTCAGCAGTGCAAAGTGTTATAATGCTAAGTTCAATAATTTATGTTGTTCTTTACTTGGGGTTTTTTGAAATTAATTAATTCTTTGGAGGCCAGAGATAGATTACATAATGAGACATGTTAGAAATCTTGAGAAATTATTGCAAAAATATCTCACAATTGGAGCCAACTTCTAGGGAAAATTTATCGCAAACTTTGCTGATGCTGTGTTCTTCTGCAGCAGACTGGTAAGGTGTTAAACCCCAGCCAAGAGAGGGCTGTTGGCAGCAGTAAGGAAAACTGGTGATGTAGAGGGTCAAGAAATTTGTTTCCTTCCCTACCTTCCTCTCCAATAAGACATGATACCCACAAGATGACTCCATTTCCAATTTGGAGTCACCTAGCTTGTTTGAGCAGAATTACCATGATGCTCCCTGCCTTGCTCTTCTATCAGAAAAGAACAAGTCTTATGTATCAAACTCACTCTTCTTAAGGGTTAGGGCCAAGTGTTTTCAATCGTTTACCACTTTTTAAGCAAAGATAAATTGACCCATAAACAAACCAGAAAAAATGCATAAATAAGAATTAATGAGCCCTCTTAATTCCAAATTTATTTCTATCTCTTCCCCCAGTCTCCCTTTGATTTCCATCCCCATATTTATCTTACTGATACTTTAAAATTATTTTTAGAATATAATGTTAATGTCCATAAATCCTATCATTCCTGGTAAAACAAATGTTACGTTCTGTTGGCTGTTTTCTTTTTACCCTTCCACAAAAAGTGAGAAATTGGTATCATATGAATAAATAAATGCCGGAATATTTTTAAATGCTAGAATTACTGAT